CTAGAACGTTATCCTAAGTATCATCACACAAAACGACTTCACGACATTCTTTTTCAATTCGAAGATGTGTTAATGGGAAACCCTATTCCTACTGCCAAAATACTTGGTGAAAAACAAGAAGCATATATTTATGGAAATATTAATTCTGCAAAATCACTTATTTTCTTATGCAATGCTGATGAGAAAGAATCAAAACAGATATCCTTTTGTAATGTTCTGTGGAACCTTCCTAGATGGTCTATTAGTATATTGCAGGGAAGTGACAATTCACTAGAAACTCCTTCACTCATTCTATTAATGAATACGGCCATTATTGAATCACCAAAAAGTTCACCTGATCGTTTGGTCTTCAGGATACTTCCTGAAAGTGTCGTGGATACAGGATCTTTTTTTTCATTATCAGAGCCCATTCCGTTGTCTGTCGATGAATGTGACAAAAAAACATTACGTCCTCCACCACAGGTTGCGACTACACAAGATACCACTGATTACATGTGGTTAGTGACAAAATTAGTAATCAAACGTGAAAAAAGAAAAGAAGATCAGACTTTGAATAAATTCATTCTCAAATTGCATAATGTTGGTGATGTTGGTACCGTTTATATAGACGAAAAAAAGCAATCAATATACCGTGGTGGGAACGAAGTTCATTTGCCGCTGGATCTCAATTATTCACATGATTCCTTTAGAGATGGTATATATCCTGATGGCAGAAAAGAATATGTCTTTACATTACAGATCCTCAATGGCTTGATGGGACTGCCGCATATTATGACGCATATGGAAAAGTATGAGCGAGGAATCCTGGGCGACGTGTATCTGAATAATAAACAAATTACGTCTGCGGGATGGGGGATTAAAATTGGACTTGTTGGTGAAAAAGAACGCTATTTCGATCCAGAAACACATTCCCCTCTTCCGTGGAAGAGCATGAATTCTGAAAAGTCATTTTCCATGACTACTAATATTTCAAAAGAAGGACTTGTATGGTATAAGTTTCAATTTACTCTGCCAGATGAATATCATGATGTTACTCGTGCAGAAGATACACTCCCACCGATCGCTTTAGATCTCATATCGATGGGAAAGGGTAACGTGTGGGTTAATGGGCGACATCTTGGGAGGTACTGGTTAGAGCTTGCCACACGTCCCACAGATCCGCGCGCACGGGAGGATCAAGATTATGCGGGCTGGTACAATCCACATATAAAATGCCGAGTAGGATATGATGTTCCATCACAACGGTATTATCATATTCCACTTGAATGGATGAAGCGCTACGGAGAAGATCGTAAAAATATTGTTGTATTGTTTGAAGAATGGGGTGGAGATCCACTTAAGATTCGCGTGGCGCAGCGCGTGCAGTGCAATATATGTGAACCCGACGAAACTTGCACTCATTGAATTCTTTGACACAACAAATAAGAGAGATTTGTTAATTTTATGCAATTTGATCATTGTATCTACAGTCATCTATTCTTTTTAAAATCTTTTAAAAGCATGTACCAGTAGTTACAAGATAATTATTTGTCTAAATGGTTTTAGTACTTTGTTAGCTTGAAATAAAAGTTACCTACAAAATATGATTTCTTGTTTTTATTGTATATTAAAAAAGCTTTCGATTCGGATGCAGTTAAAGATTAATTTGTTAAATTCTATACAAATAACAATATTTTCCGATTTTTTTACATTTTTTAATATAATAATTACAGTTGCTCTTTCAAAATCAATATGCATGATGAATAAAACGCAGATTAGTTTGGGAAATATCAGATTTGAAATAATGCAACATTTTTTAAAATATGAATTAAGTTTTTATAATACCATATATTGAAATAAGTGATTAATAAAATATATAGATTTTATAAATTAATTATAATAAAAATCTTTTTTTTCTTGTAGTTAAACAAGTATATATTGTTTATTAAATTTTTATAGAAAATAAATAATGTGTGATATATTGTATTGCATAAATTATTCTATTTCATTGAATACCTGTCTTTAATTAATATTTTTAAATGTGACTTTGAAAATAAAAAAAGTTGTTTTCTTTAATATTTTATTTACTTATGGAATTTAAAATTAAAGATTATTGCTTATAGTTAGAAATAAAAGCAACTTTATAAGTTCTGTTTCAGTTTTATGAAATATTACTTTAACAACATCAGCAAAATAAATAGGGTGATATGTATCGATTAATAACACCCTGAATACATATCAATGATAATCCCCCCTGCCGATTATTATCGATTTAGATAAAAATCAATATGTATTGAGGTTTATTGATTTTGGTTTAAAATTTTAAAAAATCGATTTGTATCAGGGTATATTGATTTCAATTTAAAATTTTAAA